ACTCACGGCAGAAGGTAGCATTCCTCCAGGGCAGAAGAGTCACGCCGGCTGCCTGGCACGCGTCAGCGTAGGCCTCCAGAGCAGCACACAGAAACTCCTGGCCACCATTCAGGGCACAAAGGTCATAGAGGCAGGTGTCAAAGTAGCTCTGGGGGTTGATCACGCTGTGGCACTCCTCAAAAGAGCTGGGCCTGCTGGTCAGTATGCCACAGAAGCGGTCCGACTTGTAGAGCTCCTCCTCTTCTGCACTGCAGGGTGGGGAGGGGACGGGGACACCGCAAGAGGGGTCACTGTCTGGGACCTGCCAGCTCTCCCCCAGCGCATTGGAGTCTGCGGCTTGCTGCCCGTTGGGCATCATGTATTCGTCGTCTCTCCGGTTGTTGAAGTTCCCGCACATGCCACAGGTCAGGTTGAAGTAGGTGGTGGGCACCTTCACCTCCACCGAGTGGTCAGTGTCGTAGGACACTCTGAGGCTGAAGTCTGTCTCCAGGACGACGTAGCGGCCGCTCTGGCTCACCGTGATCGCACCTCCCGCTGCCCTCACCGGCAGGGTCTGGCGCAAGCCGTTCACCTAGGGCAGACACAGCACCATGGGCCCTGGACTTGTCCCTGGCCTCCCTGGGGTCTCCTGCCTGGGGAAAGCAGCTGCCAGGCCAGGCACGGCAAACAGCTGCCTGGGATGCCCCCACACCCCACTACCCCTAAGGCCCACAGACCCATGTCTGTGTCCTGCCCACTGCAGGGGCCTCTGCTCAAAAATGGAGACAGCTGGTACATGCCAGGCCCTGCCAGGAACAGCCAGCCCTGCCTTGCACCCACGCCACGCCCATGCCAGTCCCGCTGCCTACCAGCACTTGGCTCTTCTCCTGCTTGAGGATGGCAATGCGCTGTCCGTACACCTCAACCAGCACTTCGCGCACATAGGACACCCTGGTGTTGCCACGATGCTCGTTCTTGGCCTCCACGTTGAAGTAGGGCAGGGAGGTGGTGTTGGAGCACACTTTGGCCAGGGTGTAGGTGCAGTTGCCCATGAAGTTGTGCGTCACCTTGTCAAAGGTGTTGTAGTGAGGGTCCCCGTGGACGTGACAGATGCCGTAGGAGTGTTCGAGGCACACGGGTTTCCCACCCTGCACC